TGTCCAGCAACATCAGACATCGTTAATGAATCGAACCAATCACGCTCGTTAATTTTTTTTACAATAATATATAATAAATTATCTTTAGTTTGAAGTAAATTTAGTAAAAATTAATCTAAAAATGTCTTTCAAATTTCGTGTTATAATCTGGTTTCACGAAATATACACCTTTGTAGAATAAAATAATCAGTTTGTTAGTTTGTCTGTCTGTTTCCACTTTTGTTAGAAATCTTTGCTTTTTTTTCTTTTGAATATTTTTTTTTATAGATTTCATATTCTAGCAAAACATTCTCTACTTCTGTAAATGATTTTTGTGTGATTACTATATAAGTTCTTAACAAAAAAATCAAACCGAAGCCTTGAGCAAGAAAAATTGTTCTTGAAGTTATCGGCTTCTTCTCCCGCAAACTTATTGGCACGGGGTTGATATATATATATATATTATTCACTGTTCATTTATGCTCACAGTCACACCCAGCCACTCTCGTGTGTAGCTTTAGCGTCACAGATTCACATTCGCGAATTGACACAGATGCACAATATAACTTGGACAAACAAGCGGCACTGAGTAATTTTTTTATGGGTTTGTTTCGTGTTTTTTTTCTTTTTTTTTAAATTTTAATCCTCTTGTATAATCAATGTTCGATATTATGATTAGGTATCGCATTCCGTTCCATTGTTCACAGTTTCCATTTGGTCGTCTTCAGTCACGAAATCCTGGGCACATGATTCATTATCATAATTGCACTAAACATCCAGAAGATGATATTTGGTTTAGATGTGTTAGCCCCTCCAGTTGTTGTTGTTTCTATTAAAAAGAAAAAAAAATGAGGAAAAATATTTTTTAAAATAATTATTAAAGAAAGAAATATAATAAGATTTTATCGCGTAAGAATATTATTTTTTTTTTAAATATATAAATTTGTTCTATTTTATGCTTAAAAATATGAAAATTTTGTATTAAAAATTAGTATTATTACGTATTAATGTAAATTTCTTTTATATTATTGCGCGAAATATGACGTAACAATAGTTCGTATAAAATATTTATTGTTACGTAATAATTATTTATTTTTATTTGTTTATATTTTATAATTAACTATTATTACGTAGTAATATAAATTTTCTACGTAATAATAAATCTCTTTTTATGCGAAGTATTGTTATGACGCATTTTGCATAATAATGTAAAAAAAGAAATTGACATTTACACGCAATAATGTTAATGTTTTTATGCAAAAATATTCATATTTTTAAGAATTAAAATATAATAATTAATTTATTTCTTTAAATATCTTATTGAGTAAGAGTATTTTTTAAAAAATATATAAATATATGCTAAAATTTTGGCATTAAAAATTAATATTATTGCATATAAATGTAAATTTTTTTAAATATTATTTTGCAAAATATAACGTAACAATACTTCGCGTAAACAATTTATTATTGAATAGAAAATTTCTATTACCATATTATAATATATTTGTTTACACGAAAATATAAACTATATTATGACGTAATAATATTTTAAGTAATTGTTATTGTTACATAACAATGTTATTATTACGTTGTATTTGTTACGTAATTAATTGTTAATTTGTTTTCAACAATAGTATAAAATAATTAATATTGTTACGTAACGAAATTTCTATTATTACGTAGTAAGTATTTTCATTTATAATTTACCAATTAAATATTTAATAAGCGCTTTGTTGTTTTACGTCATTTGTTTGTTGATTTTTTCGAATTAATTTTTTATTAATAAAATAAATAATAAAATTTATATTATTAGAAAAAAAAGATAGAATTAAAAATTTTAATGTTAATAAAAAAAAATTCATATCAATTTAAATAGGTTTATTGTATATAAATTTTTAAATTGATTGTATGCCTGAATTTATTATAATTTAGCCTTAAAAATTCCACCTTAACACAATAAAAAAAAAAGTATCACAAATGATTAATTTACAGTTTAAATTATAAAGAATAAAACTGTTTAGTTAATTAAGTTAATTGTTCAATTAACTTTCAAATAGTAAATTCAGTGTAAACTGAAATTAAGTTTTTTTTTAATTTTTTAATTGTATTTACTAAATCGTGATGAAAGTGTTCTTGCTCTATCCAAAAAGAATGAATGATTTTCATCAAGTGTATAGCATATAATGACATGACCGATAAGAGTTGACTGCTTACATCCCACCTACTCTTTTCATAGATTCTAATGAGATTTTCTACTGCTATAGTTACTGTTCTTCATCAATTTACGCCTCTAGATGACGAGTTGACCTCGTTTATTAAAGTTTCTTTTGCCTTTTTCGCGATTAACACTAATTGAACATTTCTTTCTCTACTAAATTTCCAACTTTTTTCAAGTTAGTCTTTTCCCCCCTCTCGAATCCCCTTTCCCATCGTTTTAAAAATGATTACAATTTAAAAACGTTTATAATTTCTGTATAGTTTGAGTAATTATGAATAAAGTTAGAACAACAAATTACTGGCATTATGATAGGACAACAGGAATATTCTTTAATGACATGAAATGCCTTTAGGTTACTTACCAGATTCTGATGAGACTTCTGAAGATGGTGGATAAATATTTCTAAATTCTGTTCCGCCTCCAGCATCTTGATCTTCCGGCGAATGGGAAGGAATATCTATTTATTTATTTTTTTTAGGGGGAAAAAGGAATAATTTATCATATGAATAATCAAATTGAATGTTTTTTTTTATAACGCACAAAATTATGTTTCGGTTCATAAACAGCATCCGACCATTCAAGATATAATAAATTCGATGGTTAAAGCTTATAAAAATGGCATTTTTCTTTACTTTATTTCTAAATAAAGTGAATAAATTATAAATAATATATTTGAACTAATTAAATTTTAATATTTTAAACTGAAATTTCGGCTTCAAAATAGCATTTTTTTTTTTTTAAATATTATAAATACATTCTAAAATATAAATTTATAAAAATATCTGTTTAACATTTTATTACATAAAAATTCAAAATATAAAATTGTAAATAAAATTTTATTTTGTGTGTTTTTAATGATAAAATAACGTTTTGTTTATTATATAAGGTTCGGCCATTTTTGCCTTTTATTTAAAAAATGGCTTTAATCTTTTGAATAAAATTAATAAATTATTATTCTAGAACTTTTCAGTAAATGAATAATAAATTTATTTATTTATTTTCTATAATATAAAAGCATAAATAAATATTAAAAGATTACGACGAATTCAATATGGAATAATGTTAAATGAAAATGCTTCGAGTGCCTACTAATTAAAGATATTTGAGTGAAGCACGGCTCTATGCCTTGGTTTTCAACAAAGAATTTCAATAAAGAGAAAAGTTTAAAAGCAACATAAATGAAAGTTTCTACCATTGAACAATGATCCACAAGTTTTAATTGGGATAATGAAAGGAAGCAGTATCATTCCTTCTCAACTGTCATTAAGCAAAATGAACGGGTTTACTTTCCTTACAACTATTTATTTGCATATAGCTAAATTAAAAGGTCTTAATCATTGTATCAAACCGAATTTTCCAGTAGTTAAAAGGTGTATGTATATACACATGAACATCAAATAAACGTTTAAAATATAAAAGCTAGAATACTTTCTGTATCGAGTTTTATGGTAACTTATAGCAGCTTAGAGGTTTGGTTCGAGTGTAACGAGGATAAATATAGGCCTACTAGAAAAAAATACCATACTGGAATAAGAAAAAACACAAGTAAAAACCACAAAGTAGAATAAATCACATAAAATTCAACATAAAATAATATAAAAAACAAGTTTAAAAAAACAGATAAAACAAGTAGAAACCCAGGCAAAACTGGCCGAATAGATAAGAAAATAATAATAAAAATCGCTTAATAAATTTAAAAACTTGAAAATAATTAAATTTAAATAAATTTTAACTCATTTAAACTTAAAAAAATCGAGAAATTTAAACCTAAACATCGCCATCAACTTTAAAGATTTTCTCCTCTATGCTCTCGTGTAATAAAAGTAAAACAAGTATCAGAGATCTGACGTAACAATTTTACTCATATTTAAATCAATTATATAATTAATTAATTAAATTTAGAGTAAAGAAAACAATCGAAATTAATCGATTATATCAAGTTAATTGTAATAAATGAATGGATACCAGTCGATAGTATACGAACTAAATCGAAGTGTCGTATAGTATATTTGCATGAAGGTAATGTGTCGTTAATATTGTTTTACAGCTCACAGACGAAGCTAGAGCTACATCAAGGGATAAACTAAACTATTGCTTTGGGAATAAATAGCTGAAGGCAGAAATATATTGCAATCAGGAGCACACGAGGCAGAACTTTCTATCCCTTTATGAATTTGCATATCAAACTGTAATTAAACTTTGTAATAAAGAATGGAAAATTCTTCATCAAAATACTGTTGTATGCCTGAATTTATTATAATTTAGCCTTAAAAATTCCACCTTAACACAATAAAAAAAAAAGTATCACAAATGATTAATTTACAGTTTAAATTATAAAGAATAAAACTGTTTAGTTAATTAAGTTAATTGTTCAATTAACTTTCAAATAGTAAATTCAGTGTAAACTGAAATTAAGTTTTTTTTTAATTTTTTAATTGTATTTACTAAATCGTGATGAAAGTGTTCTTGCTCTATCCAAAAAGAATGAATGATTTTCATCAAGTGTATAGCATATAATGACATGACCGATAAGAGTTGACTGCTTACATCCCACCTACTCTTTTCATAGATTCTAATGAGATTTTCTACTGCTATAGTTACTGTTCTTCATCAATTTACGCCTCTAGATGACGAGTTGACCTCGTTTATTAAAGTTTCTTTTGCCTTTTTCGCGATTAACACTAATTGAACATTTCTTTCTCTACTAAATTTCCAACTTTTTTCAAGTTAGTCTTTTCCCCCCTCTCGAATCCCCTTTCCCATCGTTTTAAAAATGATTACAATTTAAAAACGTTTATAATTTCTGTATAGTTTGAGTAATTATGAATAAAGTTAGAACAACAAATTACTGGCATTATGATAGGACAACAGGAATATTCTTTAATGACATGAAATGCCTTTAGGTTACTTACCAGATTCTGATGAGACTTCTGAAGATGGTGGATAAATATTTCTAAATTCTGTTCCGCCTCCAGCATCTTGATCTTCCGGCGAATGGGAAGGAATATCTATTTATTTATTTTTTTTAGGGGGAAAAAGGAATAATTTATCATATGAATAATCAAATTGAATGTTTTTTTTTATAACGCACAAAATTATGTTTCGGTTCATAAACAGCATCCGACCATTCAAGATATAATAAATTCGATGGTTAAAGCTTATAAAAATGGCATTTTTCTTTACTTTATTTCTAAATAAAGTGAATAAATTATAAATAATATATTTGAACTAATTAAATTTTAATATTTTAAACTGAAATTTCGGCTTCAAAATAGCATTTTTTTTTTTTTAAATATTATAAATACATTCTAAAATATAAATTTATAAAAATATCTGTTTAACATTTTATTACATAAAAATTCAAAATATAAAATTGTAAATAAAATTTTATTTTGTGTGTTTTTAATGATAAAATAACGTTTTGTTTATTATATAAGGTTCGGCCATTTTTGCCTTTTATTTAAAAAATGGCTTTAATCTTTTGAATAAAATTAATAAATTATTATTCTAGAACTTTTCAGTAAATGAATAATAAATTTATTTATTTATTTTCTATAATATAAAAGCATAAATAAATATTAAAAGATTACGACGAATTCAATATGGAATAATGTTAAATGAAAATGCTTCGAGTGCCTACTAATTAAAGATATTTGAGTGAAGCACGGCTCTATGCCTTGGTTTTCAACAAAGAATTTCAATAAAGAGAAAAGTTTAAAAGCAACATAAATGAAAGTTTCTACCATTGAACAATGATCCACAAGTTTTAATTGGGATAATGAAAGGAAGCAGTATCATTCCTTCTCAACTGTCATTAAGCAAAATGAACGGGTTTACTTTCCTTACAACTATTTATTTGCATATAGCTAAATTAAAAGGTCTTAATCATTGTATCAAACCGAATTTTCCAGTAGTTAAAAGGTGTATGTATATACACATGAACATCAAATAAACGTTTAAAATATAAAAGCTAGAATACTTTCTGTATCGAGTTTTATGGTAACTTATAGCAGCTTAGAGGTTTGGTTCGAGTGTAACGAGGATAAATATAGGCCTACTAGAAAAAAATACCATACTGGAATAAGAAAAAACACAAGTAAAAACCACAAAGTAGAATAAATCACATAAAATTCAACATAAAATAATATAAAAAACAAGTTTAAAAAAACAGATAAAACAAGTAGAAACCCAGGCAAAACTGGCCGAATAGATAAGAAAATAATAATAAAAATCGCTTAATAAATTTAAAAACTTGAAAATAATTAAATTTAAATAAATTTTAACTCATTTAAACTTAAAAAAATCGAGAAATTTAAACCTAAACATCGCCATCAACTTTAAAGATTTTCTCCTCTATGCTCTCGTGTAATAAAAGTAAAACAAGTATCAGAGATCTGACGTAACAATTTTACTCATATTTAAATCAATTATATAATTAATTAATTAAATTTAGAGTAAAGAAAACAATCGAAATTAATCGATTATATCAAGTTAATTGTAATAAATGAATGGATACCAGTCGATAGTATACGAACTAAATCGAAGTGTCGTATAGTATATTTGCATGAAGGTAATGTGTCGTTAATATTGTTTTACAGCTCACAGACGAAGCTAGAGCTACATCAAGGGATAAACTAAACTATTGCTTTGGGAATAAATAGCTGAAGGCAGAAATATATTGCAATCAGGAGCACACGAGGCAGAACTTTCTATCCCTTTATGAATTTGCATATCAAACTGTAATTAAACTTTGTAATAAAGAATGGAAAATTCTTCATCAAAATACTGTATAAATTGTTTAATTAAAATAATTTTCTAATGAATCTTTAACTTATAATAATTATAAGTAAAAATCTTTATATTTTCGGAACGATTTTAATGTCAACTGATTAATCTAGATTTATGCCAATCTATTCTACCCGTTCGTACGTCAGGCTGTCTGCACATGATTTTACTAAATTAATTTCTGTCATTGCAACTGTCTAAACTCTTTAATCTGACAAAATGGTTCCTCTTAAATCTGTACAAATTCAGTAGCCGGTAAATTTGATTATCTAGGCATTAATTTTAATCATTTTACTAAAACCTTTTTACTTTTTTTTTTTATTTTATATTATATATTTAAATTAAGATAAAATCTTATAAAATTAGCGAATTAAATTAGACGAATTAGTAGTAATTTTTAAAGTTAAATCTATTTATATAATTTTTTAAAATAAAATTAATGTACTTAAATTAATTTAATTTCGTTATAACGAGGTGAAATTATATTAAAGTAAATAAAGTTTTTATAAAATTTAGTTTATAAAAGAGAGAGAATTTTAAATAATTTTTATGTAATTTGAGAATATTTTAATTGTTTTAATATATAAAAGAATAAATATGTTAAACATAAAGTAAATTAAATTAAAAAAATGCTTTATTTAAAATATAAATTCGATTATAAAAGTATTTTATTCGTTATAACAAAACTTAACTTGATTACATTAAAACGCCTCTAATTTTTATTATAATTAAAAATTTAATTTATTTATAAACGTTTTAAAAATTAAATAGCATAAAACGATACATTTTACACGATTAAAACCTTAATTAATTTCAAAAAATTCGATATAACGGCAATTAAAAAACGACTACTCATTGTAACGAAATATTTAAAATTGAAAGGAAATTTAATATATTTAAATAATATATAAACATTTAATTTAGAAACGGCGTTTGTTATCGATAATTTTCTTTAATAATAACGCACATTTATGCATTGGTTGTAAAGTGGAGTAATTCATAGCAAAGTCGACGTACTGTACGTTGCATAATATTTCCATCATAGTAATCAGTGAAGAGGCATGACCGGAATATTATTCATTTGTCATTCATAGTGTAAACCTTTACATTATAAATGAGAAATGCAAATTATCAAAATCATTCATTTTGACTGCGTATATCGCTATTTCCTATCAACGTCCCATTCCATTAAGTTCCATTGACATAACTTTGACCTAATGCCATAAATGTCTAAACTTAAAATCTGCATTTAATATTTTCCTCATGTTTAAGTAATACGTTTCCATCAAACTTATGTGTAAAATAATTTATAATATTTAATAAAAACTTTCTCCAATCACCACCACCATCATCATCATCTATATAAAATATTATAAAATATTTAAAAATTCTTAAGGAAAACATTAAAAATTAATAATCATAAAATTTAATTTTCCAATTCTCATCTCCATCCTCCCATTACAGAATTTATTCTTTATCAGATTTAAGTGTAAAATAATTTATAATATTTAATAGAAATTTTTCCCAATCATCATCATTATCATCATCTATTTAAAGTATAAAATATATTTTAAAAAATTCTTAAGGAAAATACTAAAATTTAATAATAATTAATACATATTCGTAATAAGATTTAATTTACCAATTCTCATCTCCATCCTCCTATTACAGAATTTATTCTTTATTTGCTCTTCCATTATCTTAATTATAATAAGGTTAAGGATTTAGTCTTAATAATTCTTAAATATTTTGTTATAATTAAGGGTACGCATGCCATAATAAAATAAGATTACTGTTTAGCTTTCCCAAATATAAACCCTATTAGTGGGGTGTAGTGATCAATGTTATTCAATTAGTGAGCGGGGTCTGTCAAACCTCAGAATAATAACCACTAATTTCATCCAATAACCCATAATAACTTACATTTAGACGGCTATACGAAACTAGTTTCGTTACAGGCAGACAGACGGACAGTTTAAGTATACTTTATAGCGATTTTTTTTCTGAAGAATTTTAGTTTTTCCTTCGATTATGAGACGGAGAAGAGCGTGGATTTTGTAATTTTTTTAAAAATAAAAATCTCATTTAAAATTAAAATGATATTCAAAGATTTAAGAAAACTGATAAAGAAGTAAAGTGAAAGAAAATAAAAATTTTTATATGTTACAATAAGCTTTGATATCCTTTCAAGAAAGGAAGAAAAAAAAGGGGGGAAATGTATAGAAGATAGAGAGGCAGCAACGTAATATAATTGCTTGAGTCTTTGACATAGTAGAAAGGAGATGAAAATTGGGACTTTTTCTCGGTTCCTGTCAAAGGACTAGAATAGGATTAAGTGCAGTGACTGTGTTACCTTTCTCTGCTGGTCTGGACATAGCACTCGGTGGGTGGCCATTTAGTAACTTCTCTGACTTGGCATGGAAGGCTTCTGGACCTTGGGAAGAAGATGTTGAAGACGGAGGTGGGATTTCTAAAAGACGAGATCAGATAAGGGGATTAGGAAAAAGGGTGGAAATATTCTGTAGATGCTATCTGAGATGTCCAGAATAATACAAAAATATATGTCACCGGTAAATTTATTTTATGTGACAAGTTACTTCATTCCTGAAGATGTAAAGAGTTGAAAAATTACAGTACAATTTAATTTAAAAAATTTTAAAGAAATTTTTATATACTTTTATAAGAAAAAAAATTTCTTAAATCATATTATTCAATCGATTTTCCTTTTTTTAAAATCGACGAAACGAAAATTAAATAAATATATATGTATTAAAAAAAATTCTTAAAATCTCTTAACCTTTCTTGCGAGTAGAAAAATTTAATAATAATAATAATAATAATAATATAGTGAGAAAAAATCATTTATAAAATACTTATATATAAGAATACAAGAGCCCTATTCACTGCACTTATACCTAATTCTAGTTTTAATTATATTATTATTATATAAGAAGAATGGAAGTCGTAAGAATATATTTTTGAGTGTTAGCGTTAAAAGATAATATGATGACCAGCAAACGACCAGTAGAGCACTAAAATAGAATCCTATTTTTCAAAATCGAAATCCTTACTTTCATTCGTGCGTGTATCTTCCATCTATTCTATATCTTTCACCTGGAGTCTTCGATGAAATGCGTTTTCCATCAAGCGATTCACTTCTATCGAACATGATGGTCATTGGACCAGAGCGTGAACTCTTATAGAAGGTCGAGAAAGAGGTCTTACTTCTTCTTAGCAAAAACTGTCGCAAATTTCTACTCCCCCGTCAATAGCAGAAGCATTCTTTACCAAGGAAAAGAGGTCAAACTGTAGGGCATGGGTGTTTTACCCACCCCAATATGACATCTTGGCCATCAGATGTTCATGACACTCCTGTCTGTTGTTGGAGTGGAAAGACCAAGAGAATGCCAAAGAATTGCTTTTCAAATGAAGATAAACGTTGGAAATTTACTAAGGAATTTTATTTCTCTTCTTAATTCCTTATAAACCTTTTATATATACTAATATATGAAATTTTTAATCTTTGTTAATTAAGTAAAGGATCAAAAAGAATCGAAGGAAAATAATTGAATTTTTAATAACCTACAATAATTAGTAAGAAAGTAATTAAATGTAAAAAAAAGAATATATATTAAAAAAATTAACAAAATTTCAATTAAAATGATTTCTAATGATCGTATATTAATGCGTTTAAGGTTAAAAATATAAAAATTCACAAAATAACAAAAATGTTTAACTTGTTTAAAGATTAAAAAAAGAGGAGAATTAATTTTAAAGCCAAATACTTTTAAAAACAACTTCGTATATCATTTGCATTTTTGAAACTACACTTTTAATTTTGGTATTTATAAAAAAAAATAAATAAAAAAGAGAGATAATAAATAAAAGTGAAAAAGCCAAAGAATCATCGTTCATCTTTCCCATGAACTAGAAACAGAAAGCAAAGGAGTGGAGTTTAAGTCAAGATGCTTCAGTTTTACAGCCGACATACGTTAGAGTTAGGCACGTATGGCATGTACTCCTTCCCAAATTGAGACTGCACCATATTACAGTTTTTTTCTCCTATCCAACTTGGCTGCCATGCCACAAAAAACAAAAAAAAAGAGGGAAGAAAAAAAAGAAGAGAGGCTTGGCATTCTTGCACTGTAAAAATCTCTAGTGCGTGCTCTTTTTTTCCCTCTTCCTCCTCCTCCTCCTCCCTTTCTTGTCTCCTCCACCTCCTCTTCCGTTCTACTCTCACATCCAGTCGTAAAGAATGTAGATCTTCCTTAACGGCTGGGTCATGTTCAACTTTCTCTAGTGATCTACGTTACACTTGTGAGCTATTTATTGTCATCGAATTGGTCTCGATTCGCACGTTATCAGTAACCTCACTGGAATGGTACAGACTTTGTACTGAGGCTTGCTAATGCGATCAGCCTTTCCTTTAAAAGTCACCAACAGGAAATTAAGTGCTGGGTGAAAGAGCATTAGACAATTCGTTAGCTATAGAGTTTGAATTATCGTTCCGAATGAGTAAGGAAAGAAGATAACGTCTTGACAATATATATATATATATAGTTAGATAAAATATCGTTCGTTTCCTGCAAGTTTAGTAATTAAGTAGACGAGTATTCTTTCGGTTTCGACAGTTATAAATTTTATAAAGGTGATAAAAGTGATAGAAATTCGAATATTCTTGATATCTAGCAGACAGGAAACGGTTGATGCCATATTTGACGTTTTATCCGATAGCATCTAAAATATATCCCCAACTTCAACAGAATAGATCAATTAAGCGTGAAATCAAACTGTAAAGAGTTTTAAATTGTAAATTTATAACAATTTGACTTTATCTAAGTAACAATATGTTCACTCTTTTACGTGTTTTCCCTATTTTAAAGTGATTTTTTTCCACTTCATCCGTGCGGGAATTGGCTCAAAAATATCAAAATTTGATACGATCTTTCAGAGAATATATTTTAATATTTCAAATTTTTAAACTGAAATTACGGCTTAAAATCGCTTTAAATTTAAGAAAAAAAATATATTGTGACAAATTTAATCAATTTTTTCGGATGATTTTTTAATAAAGGATGTGAAAAGTAGGTTTTGAGAAGTTATACAATAACAATTTAGTAGAAAGCTCCATTTAAGCAAAGAGAGAGAGAGAAGTAGAAGAAAGTAGTAGTAGTAGTTGCATTTTAGAATCTGATTTTCCCCCACTTTCTGTTTTCTTTCGTACTCTGCTAGATTGGTTTTATGTCCCACAGCACCTGTAGGTTAATTCTCTTTCGGCGGTGAAAAGCTTACAACTTTTCGTAAATATTGACTTGCCTTATACAATATACCTTTAGTTATGTATAGCTTTAGGGGATACACACGAAGGAAGATATTGTGTAGAAATTCCTATAGAGAAATAAACTGGCAACATTCGACTCTGCTTCAGGCAATGAAAATGTCTACTTTATTTTATTTTATTTTATTTTTATCGAGGATTTTAGTTTTATTCAAAGTCGATTTAATCTAAATCCAAATATACTTTATTTTGCTTTATTTTTTTTCTATCATTACACTTCAATGCATAAATTTTTATAACCGATATGAAAGTATCCTTCGTTTCTTCCTCTTTTAGTCAATAAATATATGTTTGGATGATCAGTCAATGCCACAGGAAGGTCATTTCACCTAAAGATCTCCAGCTGAAGAGGAGGAGGAAATCTAGCAAGATTTCCTGGATATCAATCCAAGATAAATTTAGTATTCTGNGTAATAAATAAAATACAATTAGAAACTCACCGACAACTTCTATATATCCTACTTGACTTTTCATAGGTGAAGTGTTAATTTGACACATATACTGTCCACGATCTCGTTCTTGTACATCATCAATGTGAAGCCACCATGTTCTATGTGCATTGTGTGTTACACGGTAACGAGAATTTCGAGTTATAACACGATTCTGTAAGGTGAGTAAAGTATACCTATCTGTATGGATCCAAGCCACCTAAAAATTTTAGCATAAATTTTAAAATCAATATAAGCAATATTAATATAGAAATAATATAAAAAAGTATAATATATATACGTGTTATTTAATACAATATATATTGGCTTATATATATATATATATAGAAAGAGAGAATTTATACGAAGAATGTCTTTATATCGAGAAAAGTTCGATATTTCAGCAACGTTTCTCCTTTCAAATAACTTATAGGCGAAGAATAGAAATTGCAGTATTGGGTTCATAAAAAATCGATCTTAACTGAGCAGGTGATAGAATCTATCCTTCTGTTCCTGATGCTCAATAGTGGATAAAATCGATAAGATTACTGCATTATGAGTTTATAGAAATGGTTTCTAGAAGAAAGAAAGAAAGAGAGAATTTATCGTCACGTATCAACCATTTTAAATCATAATAAAGTAAAAGTTGTGGTTTCTTGTATAAGTAGTGACATCGAAACGGCAATGATCAATATTAATATAATTTTCTAAGTTATCTTCTGTCACACTTTATTAAATTTTCGTTTTGCGGTCCACACGCATCGCATCACTGCTTTTTCCTGTTCATCCAACTGATTGTAATTAAACTTGCAACATGTCTATTGACCAATTTAGTTCGAGTTTGTAATATAAATCATTGTTTATTTGTCAAAATAATGAAAACCAGAAGAGTAATTCAAACAGAATTAGAATAATTGATATACACATATAAACGAGTGTATAAAGAATTTTATACATAACATTTAATAATGGTTTAAGATGAAGAGATAAATTAATAATAATGTCGTTTAAAATTTTAATGTTATTTATCTTTTGTATGATAATTTATTGTGTTTATTATATTTTACAAGAGAAGAATTTAAAGGTAGAAAAGTGTAAAAATGATTAAGTGTTTAACAACAATAGAAATACAACATTAACAAGAATCTTGCGGCTCCTGAATTTGAAAAGATGTTTTATAAAAAAAAAATGATGATAAAAAAACTGTGTAGCGATATAAAATAGTTCAACCGAGGAAAAAATACTTAGAAATTTCGGAATAACAACGAAATGATGCATGCAAATAATCAAAAATATGTAAACAAAGAAACAATTCAAGAAGAAACTAACAAAAAAATATATAGAATGGCCTAAAGGGTATGTTACATCCTCTAATAAAAATGAACTAAAGGAAGAAAATATTGAATATTATCTTTAAAAATATATATAAATATATTAAATCTAATACGTTGAAAAATTAAATCAGAAGCTATTAATAAATAAATAAAAAAACTGTAGTGATAAAATTATAAGATAAAAGTCTTATAATGAAAGAAATGTTGGGTAATAAACAAAAGTTTTTATATATAGGCCTATATATATAGAAGTCATACTAAAACTTAAAGGGTACTTTTCAAAGAGAATAGGGAAAAAAACAAGAATGTAAAGGTAACATTTCTATTCTTCTAACAAAAAATAAAGCCACAAATTGAAGTAATCTCATCATTGCAAAGGTTTCGAGAATGTTGAAGAGGCACCATACAAAACTTTGGTAAACTAACAGAAATCAGAACGATATATAAAGAAATCTAAAGGAAAAGAAAAATAAAAAGAAAGAGAGAGGTTGCAAACATCTTGTTATATAAATATAAGAGACAAGAAAACTTACAATTTACGCTGAGAACAATACGTTTGCTAACGGATGTAGGAACACCATTAGATGCTATACATAGATAGGCACCCATGTGAAGACGGCTGATTTTTGTGACATTCAAGTAAGGACCTTTCACAGACGCAACTACAAAATGAAAGAAAAACAAAATCCAATCATCCACTAAGAAAAAAAAAAGAGCAAACAAAGGATAGCGCTTCTTTAGTTTGTTTCGTCCGTTAACTCACCTTTCTTTCTTCCGAATGCAATTTCTTGCCCATCCTCTCTTCTCCAAGTAACTTCTGGTTCTGGTGAACCAACGGCCACGCATCTTAAACTCATGTCCGCTCCTTCTCTTACTTCTGAATCAGAACTGGTGAGAATTTCATCAATTTGGGGAGGTACTGCAACAAAAACAAGCATAAAAATAGTCTCTTTTATAGTCGGCTTAGGAGCTAGTGCACCATTACGCTCGGTTTTCGACCTCCTAGAGGTCTTTCAGTCTGACTATGATACAAGAAGTAGTCAGCGATACTTGTCAAGGGGATAGGCCTAGAGGGATTTACTGTCCGTGTCACAACTGACAACATGATACCAATTTAATGGTATTGTAAATTTCTAGGCATGGGTTAAACTCCACCGAGGCTTTCCTACCAATCGATGCAGGATGAGTGAAGCATTCGCTGTTGACAGCGAGGTGAAGCTATTTTGAAGAGTGTAAAAGGGGCTACTGGTTAAGAGTGGAATAAAGTAAATGGTATTACATACTCTAAAAGTCTTAGTTCATTGCATATTAATGCTTAATGAGTTGTAGCCCGAATAAATTTTTAAAAAGTAAACTTTTCATAATATTCGCCAACGAATTTCTTCTCTTATTACACGTATTCTTTACATTAAAAAAAAAGCAGTAATTTTACTTGAAATTTTTAGACTCTTTCTAGTTTTCAACGTTGTAAAAAATCATATATAAAGTTTAATTTCATTCGTAACTAGAATAAATAAAATATTTGTAAAGGACATTTTCATTCGTGAAAATTTTTACAAATTACAAAAGACGTTAAGAAAAATATGAAATAATTTGTGTAAATAAAACAAAATGCATTTTCTACGGGAGTGTGTTGTTAGAGATTACAGATAGCGATGCCATCATCAACATGAAAAGATCACTGAGCCATCTGTCTTGGTTCCCGTACATTAGATTGTTAGGTTACTACATAAATAAGAAGCACTATGTTCGGTGATGAAAGGAGAACAGCATTAATCGTTCCCTCTTTCTGTTGGTTGTATACTAGAATAAGACAGCAGGCTACCTAAGTCGTATTATTAAAGAGAAAACTTTGCTTCTAGTAATTTATACGCCGAATTTATTTGCTGTAAATTAATAAATAAATCAACTACGAAAAAAAAAATGAGTAATAAATAAAATACAATTAGAAACTCACCGACAACTTCTATATATCCTACTTGACTTTTCATAGGTGAAGTGTTAATTTGACACATATACTGTCCACGATCTCGTTCTTGTACATCATCAATGTGAAGCCACCATGTTCTATGTGCATTGTGTGTTACACGGTAACGAGAATTTCGAGTTATAACACGATTCTGTAAGGTGAGTAAAGTATACCTATCTGTATGGATCCAAGCCACCTGAAAATTTTAGCATAAATTTTAAAATCAATATAAGCAATATTAATATAGAAATAATATAAAAAAGTATAATATATATACGTGTTATTTAATACAATATATATTGGCTTATATATATATATATATAGAAAGAGAGAATTTATACGAAGAATGTCTTTATATCGAGAAAAGTTCGATATTTCAGCAACGTTTCTCCTTTCAAATAACTTATAGGCGAAGAATAGAAATTGCAGTATTGGGTTCATAAAAAATCGATCTTAACTGAGCAGGTGATAGAATCTATCCTTCTGTTCCTGATGCTCAATAGTGGATAAAATCGATAAGATTACTGCATTATGAGTTTATAGAAATGGTTTCTAGAAGAAAGAAAGAAAGAGAGAATTTATCGTCACGTATCAACCATTTTAAATCATAATAAAGTAAAAGTTGTGGTTTCTTGTATAAGTAGTGACATCGAAACGGCAATGATCAATATTAATATAATTTTCTAAGTTATCTTCTGTCACACTTTATTAAATTTTCGTTTTGCGGTCCACACGCATCGCATCACTGCTTTTTCCTGTTCATCCAACTGATTGTAATTAAACTTGCAACATGTCTATTGACCAATTTAGTTCGAGTTTGTAATATAAATCATTGTTTATTTGTCAAAATAATGAAAACCAGAAGAGTAATTCAAACAGAATTAGAATAATTGATATACACATATAAACGAGTGTATAAAGAATTTTATACATAACATTTAATAATGGTTTAAGATGAAGAGATAAATTAATAATAATGTCGTTTAAAATTTTAATGTTATTTATCTTTTGTATGATAATTTATTGTGTTTATTATATTTTACAAGAGAAGAATTTAAAGGTAGAAAAGTGTAAAAATGATTAAGTGTTTAACAACAATAGAAATACAACATTAACAAGAATCTTGCGGCTCCTGAATTTGAAAAGATGTTTTATAAAAAAAAAATGATGATAAAAAAACTGTGTAGCGATATAAAATAGTTCAACCGAGGAAAAAATACTTAGAAATTTCGGAATAACAACGAAATGATGCATGCAAATAATCAAAAATATGTAAACAAAGAAACAATTCAAGAAGAAACTAACAAAAAAATATATAGAATGGCCTAAAGGGTATAAAAGTTCATATAACTCATATATAAAATTAATCATAAAAACAGCCAAATTAAAGACATATTAATTAATTATATAGGCCTTTATATATATATATATATATCTATATATAAACTAAAATATAACTTATATATTTACAGTAGGCCTATTTATATCTCATACTCGCATTCATGAATATTTACTTCATGTTGATTTTATAATTAGTAGCAAACTTTTACATTAACAAATGAATATTTGCTTTAATAAGATTATTTTTAGAAGAATTTAATCGCTATTGTAGTTTTAATAATGTTTATTATGGATTTTATCAATTATAATAATTGTAATTATACGAAAAGTAGAATATTTTACCTCTAGAACTTGGTTACTGATTGTTAAAATTGAGACGTAAGATCAATAGTAATTCAAAACTTGATTAATTGTATCGTTTCTATGATAACATCCCTCGAGCTAACTGTTCTATCTGTTATCAAAATATTATGATTGAAAATAAGTAGAAAAATCTATATCTAGTAGTGAATTATACATTAAAGTAAGTAAAATATTTTGTATTTAAGACAGTATAAATGCTTACTGTAATTTAAAAAATAAATTTCTTTTGCTAATTTGATAAACGGTAATGCAATTAAAAATTGATATATGCCTTTATTAAAGTGCCTGTAGGCGATATCTACATATATTTAATGTATAAACCCTTAGAAACATCATTTTCAATTGGTTTATACGAAGCAACATCAAGCGATATTATTCGTAATTAAACTGTAAAATTAACCAATAAAACTTTCTCAAATTTAAACACAAACTTTATTTAACCAATCGCATCGCAGAACAGCGCATTATTTTTAACTTATAAATTAAAAACGAAATTTATGTAAATAAATAAAATTATATAAGTAATTTTGAACAGAAAATATTCTAGATTTTATGAATAATATATTTTAGATTCTTCACGAGATTAATTTGTATTCTAGCTTAATTTTTGCTTGATTTAGACTTAGTCAGTTTATACTTGATGTTAATGTAACACATCATTTTCTATAATAAAAAATATGGTAATAAATCTATTTTAAGTAACTTTTATGATTTCAGTTCATTACAAAATAGAAAAAGAAGTATTTATAATGTGTATATAGGCTGATATAAAAACATGAAAACTTCAAAAGAGAGAAGAAACTTATTTTCTTCTCTCAATATTATTCAATTTTTTTTTAATGTTCTCTAGAAATGAATTAAGAGTTTTAACAATTCTGCCAGATTGATGTTGACGAATCAGTTCACGTAAAAGAGGCAAAAACTAAAGTGGATTTACTTCAAGTTACCATTACTGCACAAACGAAATGACTTCAGGTCTCGGCAATGTCATCAACTCGACTTTGGTCCCGTTACTTCGCTTGTCTGTCAACTGTAATGGTCTTTTAGACAGAAGTTTTGGGATGTTCGACTTATGTCTAGTTTCTTTTGATTTAGTTCTTTTTTTTCCTTTTTATATACACTTCTCTCTTTTAATCCTGTACTGTACGTTTAACTTAAACACAATGAGAATATATCCTCCTAAACAATTCTATTTTAAGTTTTATAAGAAAAATAAGAAAACAAGAGTTAAAAAATTGTGATAAACTGTCTTTTTCCTTTAATCAAATTACCAATTCAACTTGTTTAATAATAAATTAATGAAGCGAACATTTTAAAGATATTTATTCTCTCCAAGTTTTTCCTTAACTGAAAGTTGAATACAACGTTAATGGATTTCAGTCAAATAAATAAACCACAATAACGTTACAAGTTCTTTCAGAATAGTTCTCGATTTTTGTTGCATGTGGAACATCGATATAAATTATTCCACACATTATTATAGCCGAAAGCTGGAGTTTATTTTGTTTACTTTGTTTAAATTATGCACATTTACAATCAGAATTCATAAAGTTTTGATATTAAATTTACGTGATAAATTAAAAAAAAAATAATACTTAAAAATCTGTATAAATTAATTCGTTTAATGAGATACGAAGTTGAGAATAAAAGCGACAATAAAGAAATTAATACGCCTACTTTAACCAGATTGGTTAAGGTTTTTTTTAATACGGCCAATAAGTTTTTTTTAAAAAAATAATTTTTCAGTTTCAGAATGTTAAATTTAAATACGACACGCCTTTCTTTAACTTGATTGGTTGTATTAATTAGACCAATAAACGATTAGATTTTAATTTGAATTTTTTAATCGAAAGATTTTTATTGATTTTTTATTAGTAAAATAATTAGTATTTGAGAACGTTTTAAATAAAAACAGAAAGAGTATTTAATCTTGAAATTTTTGCGGTTTCCCAAATTCTTAGTTAATTAAGTATTATTTTTAAATGTTTACTTATCCTGCAATTTTGTGCTTCTCTCTATTGAAGAAAAAAAATTTTCTAATTGGATAAACAAAACATCTGAAAGAAAACAATTCCATTCGATTAGATATTTTTCCAATTTAGAAACATCCCAAGAAACCAATTTTCGTTTGAAACGAAAGATGCCGTGTTTCGGTCCATCTCTTTGCACATAGAAACCATACAAGACTGTGAAAGTGTATAACCATAATAACTATTAAGATTGTTAATAGTCATTCTTCCCTTAAGGAAATTTGCATCCAGCTTTTACTACATCCCATTTTAAACTTTGTCCGGATGTAAAGTAGAGGACAATGTGTTAAGGAACAGAAATTAATTACTCAGTCCTCCCTGCGGAGTACAAGAGAAAGTATAAAGATTACAATCCGATCATAAAACCGCAGCCGAGAGGATGTTGTAATATCAACAACGAAACAATAGTCATTCAGATGGAATGGCTTACATAAAACTATATTGTAAGCATTAATACAATGACAATGTACAAAGTTAACGTCAGATTTACGAATTATTAGTTCATTATTCATCTTAAGTACAGTAATTTCATTCTTTTCTGCATTTTCTTCACTTATTTTTTTTTTTTACTTTCATTATTATTGAAGATTAGATAGCTGACACTAGAAAATGTTTTATTGTCTGGAAATACGATAGTCTTTATTGCTGAATCCGGATTTTTTCCTTTTTTAAAAATAAAAGATTTATGAAATAAAATGCATAATGAAGATGGTCCATACAATATCCTATTTCTTTTTTTTATTCTTATTTATTTTTTGATGCAAACTTTACGATAATTGCAAAATTGGTTGCATGTAAAGAGATTATTTTTTATTCTGAAGTTATAAAAGATTTTTTAAAATATATTATTTTCTTTTTTATGTAATCCTATTACGATCTTATGGAAGGCATCAATTTATCAATCATGAAATATTATAAATTTCTAACACCATATGAAAATAAGTTTACAGGAAAGTATAGAAGAAAACTAATAATTAATTTTGTATCTAAAATTCTTCGAATTTAAATAGTTTCAAGAGATAAATTTGTTTTTTAAAAAAAAAGGATTAAATTAAGTAAATTTTAATTTAAAGTAATTAAATTCCAAGTTTGAAACGAAATTAAGTACAAAAATAAAATTTATTTTTTAACAACTATTATATTACTATGTAACTGATACAAGGTTTACATTCATTAAACATCCTATTATAAGTTATATATATATAAAATAAAAGTAAACTTAATGAACGTTCTTTCTAAAAATAAATTGCATTCTTTTATTTCAAAGTCCATTAATCAATTTTAAGCAATTGACATGGTCAACATATTAACGCGGGACAACGGAGATTCACAAAAGAATGCTTAATTAAGAGAAACACAATTAATGAGTCGAATTCTAAATTATTACGACATAAGTCACCAATGAATTATTTAATTTTCTATTTTTAAAAAATGTTCAATAAATTATTCATTTAAAAGTAAG